GGAGAGCTTCGACTCTCATTTCTTACACACCAAAATTCTCAAACAATACATTTGAGTGAAAGATAGAGAGAAAGGTATTCCATAGACTATAAGAAAATAGTCTGTGAAGAAAAATAAAGTGTGAGAGATATTGTAGTGAGGTGGAAAAAGCAAAAGATTATTTTTTCTTTTGAGGGTGCAGTGGTCTTAGGAGTATTTGCACTCGTTACTGCACAGTGTAAAAGTCCTCGCTATACTGATATCAGTTGTTCTTCTTGGCCGTGGTTTTTCCCTTATTCATAAGGGTTTCCACGTAAAATCTTGGTGTTATTTTTGCTGCATTTTATTCTTGCTGATTTAACCATAACTTTATGGTCCGCGTTTATCACTAATATCGTGAATATTATTTTTACGGGGTTTATTCCCAACAAGTGGTAACAGAGCCAAGGTTCTGTCTGAGTATGCTCTGTGGTTACAGCATAGTCTGAACTTCCACATCAGAAAAGAATTAGTTTGGTCTCATAATAAATAGTATTTGTATTTGTGATAAACGATGGAAGCCAACACTAGTAGAATAGTTACTTTGAATGGCACAAATTATGCCATTTGAAAGGGCAAAATGGAAGATTTGCTATATGTCAAGAGTTTTCATCAACCTGTCTTCGCCACTATAAAGCCTGATAATAAATCAGATGAAGAATGGAATTTGCTACACAGGCAGGTTTGCGGCTTTATTAGACAGTGGGTTAACGATAATGTTTTGAACTATATTTCTGGGAAGACACATGCTTGGACCCTATGGGAGCACCTTGAAAGTTTGTATGCTCGAAAAACTAGAAACAATAAGATGTTTCTAATAAAGCAAATATTGCGTTTAAAATACCGTGATGGTTCAGCGATGACAGATCATCTGAATAATTTTCTGGGAATCATGAACCAGTTATCTACTATGGGCATTAAATTTGATGAAGAAATTCAATGCCTGTTTCTACCTGGTTCCCTACTAGATTCTTGGGAAGTTCTTAGAACTTCATTATCAAATTTTGCTCCGGATGGTGTGATCTCTATGGATCTTGCCAAGAGCAGCCTTTTTAAATGAGAAGCAAGAATCAGGGTTCTCAAAATAGAGAACATAATAGAAGCAAATCCAGAAGCAGACTTAAAGATATTGAGTGCTATCATTGCGAGAAGAAAGGGCACACAAAGAAGTTCTGCCGTATTTTGAAAAAGAAGAATAGAGACAAGGAAGAACAGAAAGAAGATGGCAATCGTGTGTCCACCATCACTACAGAACATCTTGTTACTGTCCTTGATACGGATTTGATAAATATTGCTTGTGATGAGTCAAGCTGGGTTGTGGACAGTGTTGTCGCATCTCATGTGACATCAACAAAGGAATTTTTCTCATCCTATACTCAGGGTAACTTTGGAACTTTGAGTACGGGTAATGAACTGTATCTAGGGTGACTGGTATTGGAACGATTTGTTTGGAAACTAGTATTGGAACTAAATTAGTTTTAAACAATGTAAAACATGCACCTGATGTTCGTTTGCACTTGATATCAGTTGGTGTTTTGGATGATGAGGGATATGTCAGTACCAATGGTGCTGGAAAGTGGAAACTCATTAAGGGTTCCATGATTGTGGCTCGTGGGGAAAAACGTCATGGTCTATACTGGACTACGACCTCTACCTGTGTTGATATGGTGAATGCCATTGAGAGCAGTAGCTCTTCAATGTTATGGCATAAGAGGCTTAGCCACATTAGCGAGAAAAGACTAAATGTTCTAGCCAAGAAGAAATTGTTATGAAATTTTGAAAGTGCAAAATTAGAAAAATGTGAGCACTGCTTGGCTGGAAAACAAAATAGATTTTTGTTCCAGTCTCATCCTCCTTCAAGAAAGACAAAGTTGTTTGAGTTGGTGCATTCAGATTTATGTGGTCCAATGAAGACAAGGACTTTGGGTGGTGCACTTTAATTTGCTACATTTATTGATGATTTCTCAAGAAAACTTTGGGTCTACATCTTAAAGACTAAAGACCAAGTGTTGGGTGTCTTTAAGCAGTTTCAAGTTTTAGTTGAAAGAGAAACTGCAAAGAAGATGAAGTGTATTCGTACTAATAACGATGATGAATATTGTGGACCGTTTGACGAATGCTACAAGCAATATGGTATCAGACACTAGAAGACTCCTCAGCTTAATGGTTTAGCAGAAAGGATGAACAGGACCTTGATGGAAAGAGTGAGATGTTTGTTTTCTCAAGCAAAGTTGCCGAATTCCTTTTAGGGTGAAGCTTTGTTGACCGCCGCACATGTTATTAATCTATCCCCTGCGGTTGCTTTGCAAAGTGATGTTCCAAATAGAGTTTGGTATGGCAAGGATATTTCCTATGACCACTTGAAAGTGTTTGGTTGCAAAGCTTTTGTACATGTACCTAAAGATAAGAGGTCAAAATTAACTGTCAAGGAAAGGCAGTGCATCTTCATTGGTTATGACCTTGATGAGTTTGGTTACAGGCTATATGATCCAATTGAGAAGAAGGTCGTGAGAAACCGTGATGTTATCTTCATGGAGGATCAAATCATTGAAGATATTAACAAAGCGGAGAAGCTAAAATTTCCAAGTTCTGAAGGTTTAGTTAATCTTGATCAAATTCCTCATACAAATGTGGATGACGTTGGTGGGCTCAATGATGATGGTGATGCCCAGAACCATATTCCAGATCAACATATTGATGGTGATGGTGATAACAATGCTAATACTGATGAGGTAAATGTTCCTACTCACGAAGTTGTGGACGAGTTAGATATTCCACTCAGGAGGTCTTCTAGACCTCGTATTCCTTCCTCCCGTTATTCGCCCAATGAGTATGTATTACTCACTGATGGGGAGAACCTGAATGTTATGAGGAGGCCATAGAAGATGAGCACAAGGATCAATGGATTGAAGCCATGCAAGATGAGATGAAATCTCTGCTTGAGAACCATACTTATGAGTTGGTGCAATTGCCTAAGAGCATGAGAGCTTTGAAGAAGAAGTGGATGTTCAAAGTTAAAGCTGAAGAACATAGTTTGAAGCCCAGATACAAAGCTAGATTGGTTGTCAAGGGATTTGGTCAAAGGAAAGGTATTGACTTTGACGAAATATTTTCTCCTGTCGTGAAAATGTCCTCCATTCGGACAGTTCTTGGTTTGACTGCCAGTCTTGATTTGGAGATTGAGCAGATGGATGCGAAGACTACTTTTCTTCACGGTGACTTAGAAGAGGAGATTTATATGGAATAACCTGAGGGCTTCAAGGCAAAAGGTAAAGAAAATCTTGTATGCAAACTTAAGAAGAGTCTATATGGATTGAAGTAAGCTCCCGGATAGTGGTACAAGAAGTTTGAGTCTGTTATGGGGAAGCAAGGCTACAAGAAGACTTCTTCAGATCACTGTGTGTTTATACAAAAAAAATTTGATGATGACTTTATCATCCTCTTGCTATATGTGGATGATATGTTGATTGTGGGCAGGAATGCTTCCAAGATTGACGAGTTGAAGAAACAGTTGAATAAATCTTTTGCAATGAATTGGGTCATACTAAGAAGATTTTGGGCATGAGAATTACTCGTTCCAGAAAAGAAAGAAAGCCTTACTTGTCACAGAAGAAGTACATAGAATGTGTACTGGAGCGCTTCAATATGAAAAGTACTAAGTTGGTTCGCACACCCCTTCCTGGTCATCTGAAGTTGAGCAAGAAGATGTGTCCTACAACAACGGAGGAAAAAGAGAGAATGGCCAATATTCCTTATTCTTCTGCTGTCGGAAGTTTGATGTATGCAAGGGTATGTACTCGACCAAATAGTGTTCATGCAGTCGGTGTTGTTAGCAGATTTCTAGAAAATCCAGGAAAAGAACATTGGGAAGCTGTAAAGTGGATACTCGAGTATCTAAGAGGAAGCTCACATGAATACTTATGTTTTGGAAGATCAAATCCAATTCTGAAGGGCTATACAGATTCTGATATGGCAGGTGACCTTGATAACAGAAAATCCACTACTGGATATTTGTTTACTTTTTCAGGGGGGCTATATCATGACAGTCGAAGTTGCAGAAGTGTGTCGCACTATCTACAACTGAAACAGAGTATATTGCGGCTACTGAAGCTGGCAAGGAGATAATATGGCTCAAGAGATTTCTTCAAGAACTTGGATTGCGACAGATGGAGTATGTTGTCTATTGCGACAATCAGAGTGCAATAGACCTGAGCAAAAACTTCATGTACCATGCGAGAACAAAACACATCGACATCAGATATCATTGGATTCGTGAGCAAGTGGAGAACGAATCACTTCAAGTCAAAAAGATTCACACGAGTGAAAACCCTACCAAGAGACAAGTTCGAGCTTTGCAAAGAACTTGTCGGCATGTGTTCAAACTAGAATCTCCAGTGTTACCTCCTTCAGGTGAATGAGACTGGAGGGGGAGATTTATGGGGTCCATCCCATAAATCAATGAAGATAATTTTCTTCCTTTGATTGGCAGCCGCCATCTTTTCTTTTGCACTGTCAAATATGGTAGGCTGTAGAAGAAAAAATGTCAAGATTGGTAAGCATAACAAATATGCATGAGAGAAAAATGTAAAATGTAGTAGGCGTGAGGGAGTGAGGTTCTACCTATAAAAGGAGAGTTTCGACTCTCATTTCTTACACACCAAAAATATCAGACAATACATTTGAGTGAAAGATAGAGAGCAAGGTATTTCATAGACTATAAGAAAATAGTCTGTGAAGAAAAAAATAGAGTATGAGACATATTGTAGTAACGTGGAAAAAGCAAAAGAGTATTTTTTCTTTTGAGGGTGTAGTGGTCTTAGTAGTATTTGTACTCGTTACTATACAGTATAAAATTCCTCGTTATAGTGATATCAATTGCTCTTCTTGGCCGTGATTTTTCCCTTATCAGAAGGGTTTCCACATAAAATGTTGGTGCTATTGACTCAGATTAAGTTAACAAGTGATCATCACTAAACAACGTATCAAAAACTAGTTCACAGATTCTATATGATTTTAACAGAACTAACCAAAATTTAACATTTGAAGTAGGAGAATAATGTGACATTAAGTTCCTAACATATCTTCTACACTGATTTGCATTGCAGAAACTTCAACTTGGCCTGATTTGTTATCCGCAATCAGTCTGCAACAAGAAGCCTTTGAACAAATGCATCTCATAAGTCTGCAACAATATACTATTCTATTAAACAGATGCATTTAAACACCAGATCAGATATTGAAGTAGTGGCTCACTACCTTAATTTGGGAAATTTTAATATTTTGACTTAGCGCGTTGGACGTCGAATTTGAACTTGGAGAGTGTCAGATCCAGTGGTTTCTTCTATTTCTCTTTTGATATTTATAGCTGAATCCCCAACAGAGTCCCTGCATTGTTCCACATCAATAAGTTGCAGTGTTGGAATTTCCTCAAAGCACGAAGGGATCTCCTCCAGGTAGATACAATGCTTTATAAATAGCTTCTCAAGCACAGGAAAGGATTCCTCTGAAGCTTTCCATTCTCTAATATCCATGAAGTTTAATAATTTCAAGTATTTGAGTGCTTGGAACTCGACATCACTGACGTCCCAACAATCTTCCCCAAAAGTGTCTCGTATTTCTAATTTGAGATTCTCCAGATTCCGCAATCTTGCAATATTTTGATATAACCCTTTGATTGGCAATTCGATTTGAATATGCAAGTACCTAATATTTGAAGGGAAGACAAACTTGCTAGCTGTTTCAACTAATTTCCAGTATCCACGGTTGTAATTGATATATAGTTCAAGAGAATGAAGTCGAGTATGAACTTCCGGTACGGGAAACAATGGACGACTAGGTTCTTCTTGAATGTAGAGATTGAGTTCTTCAAGATTCGGAAATCTCCACCAGAACTTTGGATCCGTATCGTATATACTGCAAGAGCGAAATGTCCTCCAGTTTTCTAGCATTGTTGCTGAAGATTCTTCAAAAATTGCTCGGTCATCATCTTCCCATATAAAGGAAAAACAGAAAATATACAAATGCCTTAGCTTCGTCATTTCCCAGATAATTGAGGGCGATGATCGTACATATTTTCTTGAGACAACATTTAGAGTTTGAAGATCGCGTAGGTGAGATACCCACTTGAAATCAAATTCTTCGACAGAAATTGCAAGGTACCTCAAGTGAGTTAGCGATTGCACTGCCATAACCCAAGAACTTGGCAACTTAACGTCCAACGAATGAAAGGCCTGGACAAATCTTAATTTAGCAAGTAAAGGTAAAGTAACTGATGGATCCCGTGTGTTGCATTTTGGATGAGCAATGAACTCCATAGGCTTATGCGGCCAATATTCAGAATGAATTAAGTCTTCAACCAGATCATCATGAATATAAATGCATAACCGCGATTTCTTGGAATAATGAAGATATGGATTATATGGCACTGTGAGCTGCATAAAATTTTCCTTCGCTAGTTTTCTACAGCAAAACTCACGCACTACATCATGAAGTGTGCAGCATTCAACGTCACCATCAATTCTCTTTTCAGAGACCATAACTAGACTTCTATTAAGTAGATCATTTAAGCAAACTCTAGCTGCTTCCTCCATATTTTCTGTCCCGACATTGAGTACAAACTCTTCTGCCATCCACAACTTCTGCAAATCATATACTGGAATCTTAAAGTCTTCTGGAAACAATCCCATGTAAAGAAGGCAAGGCTTTAAGTGGTCTTCTAAATGGTCGTAACTTGATTGTATTACATTCATACTCTGCTCACCTAAAGCATGAGAACTTAAGTCATTTGCAACCTCAAGCCACAAAGACTCCTGCCTTTCCATTTTTCCAATAATTCCAGCAATCAGGACAATTACAAGCGGCAAACCTTTGCAGTGTTGGGCAACTTTTAACCCTGGTCCCTGTAGATTCGGGGGACAACTCTCGCCTTGAAATACTTTCTTCTGTAATAATTCCCAACTCTCTTCCAATGTTAGAAATCTAAGAGAATAAGGATCACTGCAGTGCTGGAGATGCTTAGCCACTTCTTCAATTCGAGTTGTTACCATTACTCTACTTCCATCTTCACCTTTAGGGAAACATAATCCCAGGTCTTCCCACGCCTCGACTTTCCATATATCATCTAAGACAATGAGGTATCTCCTGCCTTTTAGAGTCTTCTGCAACTTGTCAGCTATGTCAACATCATCATCAATTTCGCTCTTATAACCTGTTACTTGATTGAAAATCTCACCCAACAACTTTATCCTATTATATGCTTGCGAAACAGAACACCAAGCTTTAACATCAAAGTAATTAACAATAGAAGGATTGTTGTACACTTTCCTGGCCAAAGTTGTTTTTCCGTGACCTGGCATTCCATAGATTGAGATAACATCTAGCTCCTTTGTTCCTTGAATCATTTTCTTTATTATACTTTCTGCATCTTTCTCAAACCCCACAACTTCCTCCTCAATTGATGGAAAACTATGTTTGGTTGAAGGCGTTCCAGAACAAAGCGTTTCTTCTTCACAAGTCTCAACAACGTCCATGTCAATTGTTGAAAACTACAGCTAATTGGTATCTTTCGCAATAGTGTAAACTATAAACCAACTGCCTTAAAGAGTTAATAGCTCTGTCACCTTCCATAAAATAAATCAAAACAAAATTAACAATTTTCTTAATTTGTCACCAAATTCATCCGTGTTTAAATGGGTTGGGTAATAAGTAATAACGCCTTAGTTGACTTGACACGAGGAGTTATTATTGGGTCAAGATGATCAAAATGCAATTCATATTTAAATATACAATCAAATTTGGAAATTGAGAATGATGTAATAATGAAAGAACTTAAGCTAATAATCAAAGAAAAATACATTGACTTTCACCTTATTCTTCTAAAAGTAAAATAAAAAGAAGTGATGTTGGGTCATATTTAAATTATGACCTGTTATTTGACCCATCTTGACTCGACTTATTTTGACCTAAACAAACTTTGATCGATTAGTTATAACCATTATTGCATTGATCTCTATCCCCGAAATTATCGTGATGTATTACGAATCAATGTTTGAGCTCAATATTCAACAATATGCAAATATAAAATTAAGCGATTTCTGCACAGAAATAAAGAAATATTCGAATGAAAAAGCAAAAACCGAGGTCAATCTTTCTTGTTGTTCTTTTAACTTCGACGACAAAACTATAACATATCAAAAGCAAACAAAAAAGTTAGGAAGATCGATGAAGTTAGAAAGTACTTAACTTGGAGAGGAAAGCTAAAATTATAAATACACTTTCTTCCTTACTGGTGGGAAATGAATTTATCAGAATTTGGATCATAAACTATGAAATTTAGCTACTTTTAGTATCTTCTTTATCGTGTTATTTCTTTGGAAAGATCCAAAATTAATTTGGTAGATGCAGTTAATAAATGCCATTGTCATTTTCAGAGGAAATGATTCACATCACAGCATGAAAAAGACATAAAAATGTAAAATAACAAAAAAGAAGTGGAACTGTAAAAACCTAAAAAGAAATCTCACCTGGCAATAGAGAGATTAATTGCTATGCTTTTGGACTAGAGAAATCGAAATTCAGAAAGAATAAGACTTAAATGGTGAAGAATGAAGAGTGATACAAACCGTTGATGTGGGAATATCAACAAGTAAATAAATAAGTACATGTTAATTATTTAATCCTTTAGGTATAGTAACTTAAGTTTAGGTCTGACTAACCCCACATGATATGCGACTTAAATTATAATATACTCCTCATTTTTTCGAAAAATATATATTAGTAGAGCTCTCGTCAATTTTAAAAATTATTGTCCTATTTTACTTCCCAACTCCCAAGAGTTAAATACAATAATTTTAATAGATTATTGACTTATTCCAGGTTCCAATGCTCATAGCTGCCGGCCAAATTGTCAAATATTCGTCACTTAATAAACTGACTTTTGTAATAAATGGGGATCCTTTCACTACTAGAAATACGGCAATTAGCGACCAAAATTTTGCGATCAAAATTAGTTTGTCTAAAAAAGCGATCAAAGTTGGTCGGAAACAGGGAGAAAAATATTTTATATTTATTTTAAATAAATTACCGATCAAAGTTAGTCGATAAAGTGGTCAACATCTGAGCTGGTAAGACTTGTTTAGTCAAAGAAAATTTCACATTACCGTTCAACTTTGGTCGGTAATGTGGAACCCAGTTATAAAATTTTAATAGTTAATATTATTATTTAAAATATTTTATAAAATATAAAGAAATCCTATTTAAAATTACAGGCCAAAGTTGGTCGGTTAATATAAGGGAAGCATTTACCGACCAACTTTGGTCGCTATACTTTAATTTCTGGAAAATAACCGACCAAAGTTGGTCGGATATTAGGTCAACATTGATCAAAATTAAAAATCACTTTTATATTTACTATCTAAATAATATAAATGTAATCCGTTAACACTTTTGTAATACAAGGGATGAATACACTAACATATACTATAACATGCTATATATGTAGTTAAAGTAGTACAATGAAGTGTGTGTGTGTGTTATATATATACACACTAACATATACTATAACAAGCTATATATCTAGTTAAAGTATTACAATGAAGTGACAGTGTGTGTGTGTGTGTGTGCACACACGCACTCTTTGATAGTTGTATATATATATATAAGAACATGAAGCGCTAGGAACATAGGGTCGGGTTCTTTTAGGGATTGATAGACTTGTAAATTGATTAATCGACTTATAACTTATTTAGATGCATCAATGAATATTAAAAGCAAAACGTTTTGACCTATATCAATTAATATAAAAAACAAAATGTCTCGACCTAAAATAGAATAATATTATATTGGTTTATCAATTAATTAATTATTCGTACGTACGTAGTAATGTATAAGATTGATCATCAATTACAATATAGTTTATGTGTGTGTGTGTGTGAAATTACACATATACTTAAATATAACTTAAAAATTTACTTACATAGATGCTATTATAATCTATTAAAAGTAATTATCTAGTTAATAGAATTTTTTGTAAAGATTATGCTTATAGTTTATAATTATTTATAATAATTATAGTTAAATAAAATAAATATTTATAGTTAATAATAATTTTATAGTTTATAATAATTTTTTATAGCTTATATAAAAGCAAAAAAAAAAGAATTTAGTTTTTAAAAAAAAAAACAAATCGACCAAAATTGGTCGATATTTGGTCAAACGTCAACACTTAATGTACCGACCAACGTTGGTCGGTAATTCTGAAATTCAGAATGAAATACGGGTTTCCCCTCATTTCTCTTATTTTCTTCCCTAAAATTTCCCTAACTCCTCCCTCAATACTTTCCCTTCCCCTTCTCTACCCTCACACAAATCCAATTTCCCACCCCGTGTAGTCACCGCCCATGGTCGTCGCCGTCGCCGGAACCGGAGCTGCCGCTGCCACTACCACTGACTGTCGCCCCTCTCTTTCTCCACCTAAAAATTCTAGGTTTGAATTACAACCCATTTCTTTGTTATCTAGTTTTTGTTTTAATTATTTGAACATTGTATTTTATTGTTTCAATTAGTGTTTCAACTCTTTGAACATTGTATTTTATTGAGGACTAGGATTTAGGTCTTGCTTTAATTAGTTTTGTTAATTAATTTTATTTACTAATTAGTTTAACTAGTCTTGAATAATTTAGTTAGAATTGAATTATACTTTGTATAGTCTTGAATAGTTTAGTTAGAATCTAGGGTTTAGGATTTGTAGTTGAACTTTTAGTTTATGAATTGGACCTTTTGGATATGAATTGAATTTTTAGTTTATGAATTGAACTTTTTGGATATGAATTAAACTTTTAGTTTATNCAAATTCATAGTTGTCGATGTTATTTTAGTGATTTGAATGCATGAGCGAGTCCATATAATGTTTTTAGATTGGTGTGCATGTTTGGTTTAGAGCCCCGAGGGCTCGGATGAGTTTTGGATAGGCCACGGGGTAAATTTTTAGACTTAAGGAATTGCAGGCTTCAGCTGTTTCTGAGCAAGCCTGCAGGCTTCACATTTGCGAAGCCTGGCTCGCTAATGCGAGGGCTATGTCGCAATTGTGAAAGTAGCCCAGGCTAGCCTATCTCGTAATTTCGAGTGTTTTAATCGCAAATGCGATCCCTCAGCTTGTGGCCAGTCGTCGCAAATGCGACATGTTGCTCGCATTTCCCTGCTTGCAAATGCTAGCCCATTTTCGCAAATGCGAACTTAGCATAAGTTTGGGTTTGCACTGGTCGCAATTGCGACATCTGCAACCTGCAATTTTATAACTTAGCCGAAAATCTCTCATTTTTCACACTGTTTCAAAACCAAAACATTCTTGGGCGATTTTTCAAAGACGACTCTTCTTCTAAATCGATTGTAAGTCAATTTTAACTCGTTTCCTTCAATCATTAATATCTTTTCATATGNGATTGTGGGGGGATTTTGTAGAAGGGGTTGATGACTTTATTAGACATGCAATATCACTTCCACCATACCAAAGTGAAGGAGTAATTAGGCGCCCTTGTGTTAGGTGCGACTGTATGAAGTTTGAAAAATCGGAGAAAGTTCATCTTTATATGAATGGGTTTATATAGAATTTCTTTATGTGGACTAATCATGGAGAGATCGATGGTATCCGTGAGATATTTCATAACATGGTTGTTGGTGAAAGTAGTAGGTCGGTGGAGAATACAAATCGTGATTCTAGAATTCATGATATGGTTACGGATGCTTTTGGGATGCACTTCGGGGGTGAGCCCAATGAAAATGTTGAACAAACTCTTAANCCATGTGGGCCCGGGGCGATTTTTTGACTTTTTGGGTAAAACTTTAGAAAACTCATTTTCATGCATTAGAATTGATTTATTTAACATTTATTGATGTGATTAAGTAACTTGTGGCTAGATACGAGCGAATTGGTGGTGGAATCAAGAGGTAAAGCAATAGTAGAGGCTTGAATTGTGTTCGTGGCATCGAGGTAAGTGTTTGGTCTAACCTTAGCTTGAGAGATTAGGAGTCAAGTCCTATTTGCTATGTGGTATTTGTCGAGTATGACGTATAGGCATGGTGACGAGTATTTATACGTTGGTGTCAAGCATGCCTGTGAGTCTTATATTGTGATTATTATGACTTCGTGGTATTATCCATGCTTTGATGACGATTTCTATTGTTGGGCAAAGTTTGTGGAATTACTTGTGACATTTGAATATTGAGGAGCATTGGCTCAAGTTGTATAATGAAATGTGAAAGTATAAGTGGTAATTGATCCTTTTAGAGCATTGGCTCAAGTTGTGAAATGAGTTGAGAAGTAAAAGTGAAAAAGAGAAGAGATTCATTATATTATCTCCTTTGCCGGGAATTTGTTGTTTTTAATGTTATCTCCCTAGCCGGGATGTTGATGCTTCTTGATGTTATTCCCTTGTCGAGACTTGAGTGTTGAATTATTGTTCCCTTACCGGTATTCTTATTGTAATTTCATTTATTCTCTCGCCCCCTTAATTGTGATTGTTGTTTGGGTGAGGAAGAGTGTTAAAGCACGAAGGGTGATGTCGTGTATGATTTGTGAGGAAAGAGTGTACAACATGAAGGGTGATGCCGTGCCGTGCGATGTACCATTCCGTGCCTACTATACTGATTTTATGGTGAGGATGAGAGTAAAAGCACGAAGGGTGATGCCGTGCAGTTTATGTTGATTTTTATGGTGAGGCCGAGAGTAAAAGCACGCAGGGTGATGCCGTGCACTTGTCCTTGATTTTCCTAATTCTTGCTGATAATTGAGTTATGTTGTCCTTTACGTTTACTTACTGATTTTCTGTTGTTACTTGATTTTATTTCGATGTTATAGATTCCCTTACCCTATTTTTCCTTGTGATTTGTTGCTTGAGTGAGGAAGAGTGTAAAGCACGGAGGGTGATACCGTATATTGTTTTGGTGAGAGTGTGTTAAAGCACGAAGGGTGATGCCGTGCACTTGTCTTTGATTTCCTGATTTTTATTGATAACTGAGTTACAGTTTCTCTACATTTAATTGCTGGTTTCCTGTTGATACTTGTCGTACACCGCAACATGATTTTCCCTTCCTATTTTCAATTGTACTGTGGTGATCATCATATTTATTTGTTGTTCTTCTATTATTATCCGATGTTTCCCTGCAACATGTTTCCCCCTCCCATACTTGACTGTATGTTATTGTTCTTCTTTTCTGCTGTATATAGTTAAACTGCACAGGTTTATTTGGTAGTCTGGTCCTAACCTCGTCACTACTTCGCCGAGGTTAGGCAAGACATTTACCAGCACATGGGGTCGGTTGTGCTGATACTACACTCTGCACTCTTTTGTGCAGACCCTAGTGTTGTAGACTTCGGACCGTAGTGAGATTGTTGTTTCCGATTCATCAAGCGACTCGAGGAAGTCCTACAGGCATCTGTAGGCCTTGACGTCTCCTTCTATCTACTATACCTGTTTCTTTCATGTATTTCTAGAGACAATGTTGTATTTATTTTTTTTCAAACCTTATTTGTAGTACTCTTAGACCGTTTATGAAGTTGTGACTCCAGTTTTGGGTAGTCTTGTTTAAACAGTTGTATTGGTTATACTTAGTAATTTTAT